ATAGGATATGCCGCCCCCTCAATAAAGATTGAAAACAGCAGCTCTCATATATGGAGAGATGCCTCAGAAATCCCTAAGTTGTATCTTTTAGGACATATGGGGTTGAAAGTTAGCGGGGAGAAGGCGGTATCGTCTTGTATTATTCAGTTGAATATTGGTTATTGCTTTGTACCTGACGTAAACCTTTGATCGCCTCAAGGGTTAATGCAACACTGAGAGTAATTTGGATGTATTTCTGCCAAACCGCATTATGAAGTGAGCCTTGTTGTGCATGTATTCTTAAGGGTCTCAGGGCTCATGTCTTACTGCGCACAGTTCCGTTTGGCAGAAATACGTCAATTTGATTCATCGCAATAGAACTGTCTAAGTGGCTGTTTTTCGTTGTGCTAAAATAAATACGTGCGCCTTGCTGTCAATCTTGAAAAAAAAAGAGTACAAAAACACTTTTGCGCCAGTGCATATACATCGGAGCACTGGATACATTTTGATTGTGAAAAAAAAGAGTCTTTGGCCCAACGAAAATTTCTTCGAATTATAACAAAAGTTTTTTGGTTACAACTGAAGTGATTCATGGCGACAAGATTTTCGGTGTCACAACTGAAATTGTCTTCGGCGCGACGCGTATTTTCCTTGGCATAACAAAAACTGCCCAGAGAACTTTTTTCCATACACACTGCAATGAATCCCACTTTTGTGAGTGAATCGTTGTGAAAAATCTGACAAAAAACAGAAAGGAAGTAAATAATATACAAACGGACGATTATGAATAAAAACTTTTGGGGGGGTAAAATTATGAAGAAAACATACTTGACGTTTGCCACAAGAAAAAAACCAAATAACAAAGCTCGGCCAGGATTTCGGGAACCGAGTGAAAAAGCGACGATCGAAGCCTCGAGGGGCAGCGACTACTTAATTACGCGCTTCGCAATTTTAATTACGGCAGTAGCTTCGAAGAAAAACGAGAAGGAGCTGTTTAGCCGAAGATAAGATATCATGTCTTTGTTTTGTTGAAACGCCTGAAATGTATCATCCGAGCGAATTCAAGTGTATGAGTCATTGCGAAATATGTAGGACTTCCGAGGACGATTGTCAAAGTAGATGTACGAGTATCAATCAAAATTTATGAAAATAGCAAGATACTTGATTTCAAGTCGGGAGAAGTTTCCTCGAGGAAATGGAGACAAATGAAAAGCCGAGTTCTTGGGCTATGGGATACAGATGTCGCAGGCAACTAGCAATCGCCGGCAAATTGCAATTTATTCGTGTTGCATCAACAAATTAAAAAACATTTAAAGTAAAAAAACGAGACAGCAAGTTATGATTATTATGTTTTGGATTCAAATATACGTTATCCCCTTCTTCTTGAATGCATGCTACCAGCTGGCACACTCGCGAGTTCGTGAAATGTAATCAATAATCTGCGTTGGGTTTGGTTAAGCAACTAAACTAACTCCGCGGCAAAGCGGAGAGTATCGCTGGATTTGAAGGCGTTCCAAGATATGTCGTGCCTTGAATTTCTTCCCTAAAGAAACCTATCCTATATCGATGTTATTGTAATTGCGATTTGATGAATTGACAAGTACGGAGCTTGCAAATTGCCGGCGATTGCTGACTGCCTGCGACACATATCGACGGTGAAACTACCATAACACGTACCTCGGTTTGCGGCGTTGTAGATTTCCTGTCGAGCTTTATTTTATACATGGAGAATCACTCAACGTCAGTTTTTGAAAACCTCCGTGATTTTCCCTCTAAGTGCAAAGAAAACTCTATGAAAACCTCGAGGAATAAAACTGATTTGTTCCGTCAAAAAAATAAAATGGGAGTGGAGATTTTGAAACACCGCAAACGAGATACGTGGTCTGGTAGTTACACCGTCGATATTCAATTTCCCACCACCCTCGCCTTGGAAAAGGGAGTTCAGAAATAAACAGTGTTTTGAAAAATGGATATAGAATGGGTAGAAAAAGTTTTCAAAAATGGTGTTTTAGTTAGATCTAGGACTTAGGAGGCGCAAAAACAGAGCTAAGAATTTCGGCCAAATTTTCTAGGTAAACGTGGAAATGCAACATTCGTCGATGGGTCCAAACCAAACTACCAGCCAAACAGAGGCACTGCGGACCGATTATTAAAACTGATAGACAAATCTATAGACAAAGCGATCATTCCTATTATTGAAATGGGTGGCTCCTATAAACTAAGGGAGAAAATGATGGACGAACTATATCGGGTCTCTCGTGGGTTGCCGTTACTCAGTCTATTACCTACCTCCTTTGTCCATTGCAACCACTCGCTTCCACCAATAGGATCCCTCCATATTTCTTTTGTCTTCTTTGTCTATAGCTTTGTCTATCAATTTCAATAATCCGCACGCTGGAACGGACTTACGCGGAGCCGTAATTCCGCAAATCGTCTTAGGCATGTCGATGGCCATAGTGGGAACCACGTACCTCCATTCTCGAGGTTGCAGACTTGCTGTCATACTTTAAAGTTTCCTTGGAAAACTATTCAACGTAATTCTTGAAAACGTCCTTGAATATTCTTTCTCGTTAGCAGAATATTCTATAAAAATTTCAAAGTGTAAAGATGGCTTGTTTTTTCTCGAAGAAATAAAACGGGAGCGGAAAGTTTGAAACAACGCGACGGAAATACAAGGTTATGCATTTTAGCCATCGATATTTGGACGTATTTATGCTTAAAAGAACTATGTGCATAGGATTTGCGTTGAACATAGTTCTTTTTAGCATAAACATGTTCATTTCAGTGTGCCGGTGGGAAGACTGACTAAGTTCAGCTCCTGATGGTCCGCTTAAGGAAGGAAATACTTAGATTATGATGCACTGAGAAAAAATTATGGTTATAATTACCATATTAGTGGTGTTCAATATGCACTCTTAATTAGTCGTGGCCATAACCAATAATAGTGATATTTTTACTGGAGCAATCGTAATTTTACAAGTGTGCGGTAGTAAAATTACCATTTAATGGTAAAAATATCACTATTATTGGTTATGGCCACGTCTTATTAAGAGTTCGTATTGAACACCACTAATATGGTAATTATAACCATAATTTTTTCTCAGTGATGCATCCCCAAAAAACTGCCCCTCTATGAGAATCCGTGTACCTTAACGTGCAACCAACAATAGAAGAGGATCGATTTTTCTGTACTTCAAAGAGCTTCCGTCAATTTTTGTAGATTAAGGCCAAAATCATTGGTGCCTAATATTTTCGTGATTTTAGAAATGCAACGGTGGATTGCCGGTTACAAATCAACCTGGAAACTATCATTTTCCTGTTTTTTTTTTTACGAACTTGAGAACTATTATTTTTTATCTTTCAAGGGTACATATTTATAGAATGAATTAGGGTTTTTCGATGAATGAGGGTAAGGCTTGAAACTTTTGTGTCTTATATCGCCGTGATAGACGGCGCACAGTGGATCGAGTCAATTAGAGAGATCGGACATCAAATTTTTTACTAAAACTGCCAATTTAAATGCTTAATTCGTCACATTTAGAAATTCGAGGGGTTATTCTACAAGAAAATTTCACGAGAAAACCAATAGAACCGCTTTCAGAACATCAAAATTGTATATAAACGGGGTTATAAGCGTTTGAAGTTTCCAAATTTTGTCCGACCTCTTCCACTGACTCGTTCCTTTGTGCGGCGCGGCGCGACGCTCGCGAATGATGCTTGCAGACTGATGTCGTACAAATTGCATACACTGCGTCTTGAAGGCGTTTGCTTGTTTGACTTCAAAAGTCTACTATATTTACTTATTTTAAAGCCATTACAGGTTTCAATTTTGGTCCGCGGTAATAAAATCAAGTTCCATCATTACAAAACTTTAGGCATTGAAACCTAAGTGAGTAAATTTCGGTGACTTATTTCAGAGTTCTGAAAAAGAAATCATGGGCGGATCCAGGCACCTTTAACGGAAGGGGCGGATTTTTTTCTAAGCCCGTTCTCTTGCGGGGGGAGCGGGGTGCCGGAGGAAATTTCGGAATTTTAAATAATCTAATAAGCAGTTTTCAGTAAATTTCGTCATGAAGAATCGGCTATTAATTATAAGCGACTTCCCTTCTTCTTACCTCCGTTTTTTCTCTCTTCCTTCCTTTACGTTTCCTTCTTTATTTTGGGCGAACGGGGGAGGGGGGGGGCGTGCGCCCTCCTGGATTCGCCTTTGAAAGAAATCACCTAAAAAAGCTGAAAAGCTTTTGGAGCGATTGCAGAGATGGCAATATATGGACGTATTTCTATCAAACGGAACTATGTGCATTAAGACATGAGCCCTGAGACCCATAAGAATACACGCATAACGGGACTCACGTCATAATGCACATAGTTCCATTTGATAGAAATACGTCCATATAATCTTATCAATGTCAGATTATAGGCCCGACGAGCGGTGAAAAAACATTGTCCTGTTTTCGGCCCGTGACAATACTGTCTTCAAGTTGAGGAGTCTGCCTACTTTTACATTTAAAGGACGAGGTAATTTTGAAACACTCTAAGATTTCGAAGGGAGAAAAGAGGGGGAAAGGGGAGACAGGATCTCCTGGCTAAATTTGGAAAAAAAAGTGGTTATTTTGTACATCTCATGAAGCATGAAAGTGAGAAACCTACTAGAGCTATTCTATTTTGTGCCTATTTTACTGCCCCTTCATTATTTCGGCATTTCAGTGGACGAAATTGTTCAGTTTGGTGTCTTTTTGTCCCTAATTTATGGAATGCCATACTAACTGTAAGCGACCCGATTACTCAAAAATCTTACCCCCTAACTTTCATCCCCTGAAGTTTTTATTTTAATTGCTCCGCTGGAATGGTTTAAATCGATAGTGTAAAGTCTCCCCTTAATAGTCAATTTTGATCTTTATAATTCCATTCATCCTGTTACTAAACCTCATTTCGTCGAGTTCAAAGGAGAATGAACTTGTGTTGTGTCAGTGCCATGTCGGGAGGGACACTTGTAAGGAAACTGATCTACAGTGATAACGAAGGTGAACTGTGAAAGAGGAACGCAGCCAAAATCTCAAAGTCAGTAACAAATTTTACTATTTTTCCAGTTATAACCAGGATGATGCGATCAACATGAATCATAACACAGCGGCGTTAAAAAATTCAGCTTAAATATTCCTGGAAATCAAAAACTCAAACTATACTTAGTTGGGATGGGGGGGGGAGGGGAGGGGGCGTAATTGTTGAGCATGTAACTTGTGAATATTTAGAATCAATGACGTTTAAAAATGAGATCAAATTCTGGAAATGCTTCGAACGCAAAAGTTCGGAAACATTTGAGGAGATCCTTCCGAAGAAAAACGCGGTTTTTAACCAAATTATTCGTATAAGTATTGAGCGAATATTGATACAAATGATTTCCACTGCCTTAAATTATAGAGCTGTCGTGTTACGCGAGATCACAGCTCTGCCGAGAGGTTTTCGTTCTTCGTACAGAAAAAAAGATCAAAGCTCAGACAATTTTCAGGCAGTTTCTGCAACGGTAAGATTCATAATAGCCGTGCGCGGGGTACAAAACCTACCATTAAGACCTGTCGGTGTTTTCCCAGCCGTTAAATTAACTGACGACCAGAGTCTGCAGACATTTTAAAAACGCAAAGCACTTAAGTCAATCCGTGAGATGCGACTATTTAAACACGTAGGAGCGATTGTTGCCTATCCGCCGTAAATGAAGGCGAAAAATGCATCGTGCCACGTAACGTGGATCTGAGAGCAGATCACTGACCAGATAAGTATAGCTCCGATGAGTAGATATTGCTGTCTGCGCAAGTAGATGAAAGAGTCTTATCGAAAACAAAGTCAAGTTGAGAAATGGACCTAAAAGTGGTTCGCCTTCATTTGAAGAAGTATGCAAAACTCTCTCTCAATCGTTGAATACTCCGGCTGTTTTTACCTTTTGAGAGGCCATTCAATTTAAAACGGAGAAAATACCACTGAAAAAGATACGGTAGTGTGCTGTTTGAGAGGTTATGCACGCACTGCTATACTGGTTTTTCATAAAAACATAAATGTATTACACCAAATACTTAACGTTCTAACCAGTCTATACCAGTCTATTAACCAGTCTATATCACATTCTGCAGGAGCTCGAGAGATGACATGGCTCTACGACCTACCTCTACCGTTCCAAGTACCATTTGCCAACCTTGTTAGCAATCCCGTGTGGACTTACACGATGTACGCTCAGTTTCTCCTTTACGCGTTCATACTGGTCACGCCTCTAGGATTTTAAATGTTTGATGCCTTAAGTCCTTAAGTACTCTTTGTCCGGAGGAAACTAATACCGAGCACTTCGCATAAGATCTCCGATACGAAAGGAAGAGTATCGCAAAGATCTAATTGACTCGTCTCTCTTCTGAACTAACAAAAAAGGTATAGAAAGCCTTAGAGAGTTCATCAGATTCAGTAGAGTTCAGTTCAACTTCATCAGATTTTAATCACAGTGAAGATACATTAGAGTTCTCTTTCGACCTCTTGCTAATTAATTGTGGTCCGCCAATCTTAAGTATACAAAAAGTCTTCGCCTCTAACGTATTCTTGTTTAGGCTCAAAAGACGTAGAACTCAAAGATGGCAACGAGTCCGATCAAAACTTTTGATTTTGCAATAAGTGTTGATGACATTTGATCGTCGAATAAACCTGAATTTGCCTCCTTTTTCGGAATTTTGTCGAACCGACGTCGATATTCACAAAAAATTCATGTATAAATAAATAGATAATAAAAAATGCAATCGCAAATCACAATTTTTGAGTTTCACTGTGCATCTGATTCAGAGACAATGAGAATTTTTAGAATTCTGCTTTCGTGTGTTACTTGACAAGGTAAAAGTATTTCTTAGTTTTTTTTTTTCTTTTTTTTTTCTTTTTTTCTTAAATATTATTCATGGTAAGAGGTTCAATGTTGTAACTTATTATTAGGAAAATACTATCACGTCGTATAGTAACGGATTCGTCCGATTTTACGGGAGAGATCTGGATTGAGGTTTAAAGGATAGTAGTTATGCTTTTAACAAATGTGCACATGTACTAATCATTAATTCCAATTCAACAGGTGTTGAGGAATGATAAAACTCTTCTACCTACCCCTACCATTTTGCTTGCCCAGCTTCGGAGGCCTCTTTCGAGATCCGGATTGGACTTGGACCATGTACGGACAGTTCCTCCTTTACGTCTTCTTACTCATCAATCCTGACTTAGGATTGTAAGTTTCAATACGGATATATTGTCTCCGGAGTGAAATCATACAACTTACCCAGCAATCGCTGATAGAGAGGGAAGAGTATCCGAAAAAAATTGAAGACTCTTCTAGACCATAATGTAAAGGTAAGATGACTTGGAGAGTAAATTAACGCATTAAGGGGCCATCCATTAATTATTTAAGGCACTTTTTCCAGTTTTTAGACCT